ATGCTGTTGTGAAACGCCATTTCTGCTTTGCAGAGCTGGCAGAGCACCATGTTGTTTGGTATCTGTTTAAAATACTGCCAAACCTTTGGTGACTGCAATCGCGGTATTTTTGTGTTCCCCGGACACGCCATGTTGCTAGTGCTATGTGTATCTATGCTCGCGTTACTGCCTACTTCCTACTTATCTTCTTCTGCGTCCTTTTAATTATCATAATCGATTAAGTCGAATAATCGCTACAGCCCTAGCTGAATATTTAAAATGTATGAAGTTTAGAAAAATTCTGAATAGAAGCATGAATGTCCTTGAAGAGCTGAACAATTTGATAGCTGAAAATTTGCTGAAGTTGAATTTCCCCACTCATTTGAATCGGGGCAAATTTTCAGAATAAATGCTAAATATCTTAAGAAGTATGAAAGTTGTAAAAACAAAGTTGAATAAATGCCATAATGTCCTGAAAAATCTGAATCTAGTGTACATAGAGCACACAACATGAAACAGAGGAGTGGTACAATCCACAAGGTTCAGAAAATGACAACCACATCAGCTGTAGTTTCACTGAAGCACATTTTTGAACGTGGCATGGCTTACATAGCTCTCAGCAGAGTGACCTCCCTTAGTAGACTGCACCAACTGAGGATGGATGAGACTATTCTGATTCAACACAGTTCTGTCTTTTGTGGTACAGCTACAGTGATATTTACATTAACTGTTTATATGAGGTTCTCTGTCATCTCGCCAGTTCATAGTTAAACATTCCAGAATGTCTTTGTGTTCTCCAACCAGAAGCCCTGAATAAACAGTCAAGTACGCCCTGCTACGCACTTGCTCTCTTGCATTCAGTTCAGGCAATGAGATGGAGTACAAAGCTGCAACATACAGAGTGAACAAAGCCATCACTGTGGCCAAGAGGCAGTACAGAGAGAAGCTGAATGGCTTCTATTTTACTGCTGATTCCGGACGGATGTGGCAAGGCCTGCAGCACATCACAGGACCACCACCATCATCAGCTCCACAGAAAGCCTCCCGGATAACCTCAACACCTTCTACACCCACTTTGAGACCTCCAACTGATCCCCCTACAAGGACAACATTATCCTAAAGTTCACGAACGACACCACAGTGATACGACTCATCACTAGCAGCAACAAAGCAGCCTACAGGAGGGAGGTGGCCAGTCTGGTGTCATGGTGCAAGGACAATAATCTCAGCCTCAACA